ACCTGAGCTGAAGGCAGACACTTAATGACTGAGCCACCCAGGCGCCCATATCTTGTAATTTTTTAATTGCAAGATATACAGTATTGATTAGAAGTGTTGATAGAAAGTGTTCTCATCTTATTCATGATCTCCAGAGTGGAGGTGGGAGAAATTTGAAAAATTTCAGCAAGATATTTTCAGTAGATTTCTTATAAATATTGTCTATAGATTAAGGAAGCTCCTATTTTTATTCCTAGTTTGCCATGAGTTTTCTTTAATGAAAAATGGGTGTAGAATTTTATCAAATAATTTTTCTTATATATATTTATATGATTATATGGTTTTTTCCTTTACTTTGTTGAGGTGGTAAATATGCTGATTAAATTTGGGTTATTAAACCAACTTTGTATTACTTGAATAAACCCCAATTGGTTATGATTTCTTTTTTATGTACTACTGGATTTGATTTGCTTATTTGTTTAGGATTTTTATGCCTATGTTCATGAGAGAAATTGTCTATAAAGATCCTTCTTGAATTGCATTTGTCAGGTTTTGGTATAAACATCATCCTGGCTTTATAAAATGAGTTGAGAAGTGTTTCCTCTTTTTCTATTCTCTAAAAGAGTTCATATAACATTTTTATCATATTTTCCTTTTTTAAAAAAGATTTTATTTATTTGAGAGAAAGAGAGAGAGAGAGGGCATGAGCAGGGGGAGGGTGAGAGGGGGAGGGAGAAGCAGACTCCCCACTGAGCAGGGAGCCCCGATGCAGGGCTCGATCCTAGGACCCTGAGATCAGGACCTGAGCCGAAGGCAGACGCTTAACTGACTGAGCCACGCAGGTACCCTTGTATCATACTTTTCTTTTTTTTTTTTTTTTTAAATTTTAAAGATTTTATTTATTTATTTGAGAGAGAGAATGAGAGAGAGAGAGCATGAGAAGGGGGGAGGGTCAGAGGGAGAAGCAGACTCCCTGCTGAGCAGGGAGCCCGATGTGGGACTCGATCCCAGGACTCTAGGATCATGACCTGAGCCGAAGGCAGTGGCTTAACCAACTGAGCCACCCAGGTGCCCGTATCATACTTTTCTTAAGTGTGCCGAGGACTTCCCTGGTGAAGCCATCTGAATCTGGAGATTGTTTTGTGGTCGTTAGGTTTTGATTACAGATTTCATGTCTTTTCCAGTATGGTAATATTCTAATTTTCAATTTCTAGGTGTTAATTTTTGAAAGTTGTATTTAGCTAGGAATTTATTTTATATGCATTTTCAAATTTATTGACATTCATATATCTTCTAATTTTCTTTTTAATGTCCATAGTGCGTAGTGATGCCCTTTTTTGTATCACTGATATTGGCCATGTGTGCCTTCCTTCTTTTTTCTTGATCTCTCTCAATAGGAGTTTATAATTTTATTAGTTTTTTTTAAGTACTAAATTTCAGCTTTATTGCTTTTCTGTACTGTGCATATTTTCTACTTTATTTCTATTCTTTATAATTTTTTTCTTCTACTTTTATTTGGATTTAATTTGCTAATATTTTTTAGTTTCATAAAATAGATATTTAGAACATTGGTTTTTAGTCTTCTTTCTTAAAATATTCATCTTGGACTAAAATTTTGCTTATAACTACAGTTTTACCTGAATTCCACAGGATTGCATATTTTGTATTTTAATAATCATTAATTTAAAAATATTTTCTAATTTCTATTATGATTACTTTTTTGACCCATAATTTGCTTAGTTTCCAAACAGTTGATGGTTTTCTAATTACTTTTTGTTTCTGGTTTTTGGGTTAATTTTCTTGAATGATTAAAGTCCTTTGAAGTTAGTTGAGACTTGTTTTATGATGGGCCAATTTTGATAAATATTTCACTGCACTTGAAAAAAGTTTATTCTGCTATCTTGCCTTAAAAATTTGTGAAAGTAATTAAAGCCAGTTAATTGTATTGTTCAGATTTATTATTGCTTAGTCTATCAACTTCTGAGAGAGGTGTCTTAAAATTTCCCATTGTGATGGTGGATATACCCATTTCCCTCTTGAGTTTTGTTAAATTTTGCATTATATATATTTAAACTCTATGCTATTAGAAAGATACAAGTTTAAAGTTGTTATAGTTTTTCTTTTACCATTATGAGAACCCTTTTTTACCTCTTATAATGTTTCTTGCCTTAAAGTATGTTTTTATGATATTATTGTGATCATAGCAGCTTTTTAAAAATTATTTTTTGCATATTGTATCATTTTTTCATTCTTTTACTTTCCAAACTATCTTTGTCTTTGTATTTAGTCAAGCTTCTTATAAACAGCAGTTAAAGAGTTGGCAAATGCTATAAGGAGAATACATATGTGAGTTTGGGCTTACTTCTTTGTGCCTCCCTTCTGTCAGTGACCCCAACGCCCCTCAAGGCCCCTCCTACATTAGAAGGCCCAAAGTGCAATTTATTCTTCTTAGCTCTATGAGAAAGCTCAATGTCTTCTTTGCCTGTTAGGACTTGCCTTCTGCAAAAGTTTTTAGCCCCTGCCATCCCTTGCTCATCTCTTGCTTAAGACTCAGCAAATGCACCAAGGGAAAAAGCTGCGTGCACAATATTGGGCTCAACTCAAAGAATTTCTCTTCTTTCTCAGAGCTTGGCCCCTAAGTTCCTGGTTGCCCTAAAAGTTCTCCAATGCCTACAGAAATATTTTAAAAACTATTTTATACAGCTTTTCAAGTTACTTTTAGTGGGAGTGTTGGTTTATGAAAGCTATTCTATTTTTGTTGCAAATAAAATGTCCACATTTATCTTTGATTATATTAATCCTTCTGAAAACAAATTTAAAAAAAAAAAACAACTAAGTGTATGGAGACCTTAATAATCCACTTTATTGAAGGTTATTTTTTTTAAAAGTTTATTGATTAAAAAAATTTCTTTTCCACAAGCAACCCTGTCCCTTCTTATAATGTGTGCACTTTAAGGAACACTTGGTATCTCCATCTACCAAGATGGACAAATAGAAGTTATTTGCGGCATGTGATCTTTCTTTGGGCATTTGCTTGATTGAAGTTTTCATGTGGAATATTGTTCTCTATCCATAAATCAGACACTCAAGAGAAACACCGTCCACCTCAGTAGGTGCCCTGGATGAAGCAGATTGTCAGAAACATTAATGATAACTGACAGATTAGGGAAAGGAAAGAGGTCTACAGGGTGCCCTTGTAGAGTACATCCAGGGGCAGCTACTTCTATAAAGTGTTATTTTTTTTTTTTTTAAGATTTTATTTGTTTATTTGACAGAGAGAGAGAGCGGGAGCAGGAACACAAGCAGGGGGAATGGGAGAGGGAGAAGCAGGCCTCCCGCCGAGCAGGGAGCCTGATGTGGGACTCGATCCCAGGACCCTGGGATCATGACCTGAGCTGAAGGCAGACGCTTAACGACTGAGCCACTCAGGCGCCCTAGAAAGTGTTATTTTAACCTCAAAGTGAAAGATAGGCTTGGTCACCAAATAAAGGGTTTTAGATTTTGAAAATTGCCATGATTTTTCTTTTTTATCATCTCAAGTAAACAACAGGTAAATAGCATAAAAATGATCCTGCCTGTCTGAAGCCAAAGAAATAGGCTGACTGTCTTTTTAAGATCTCTTTCAATTCAGTTTCTATGTTATTAAAATGAAAATTAATATGGTCTTATGCAGAATAGTACATAATTTCTAAAATGAAGATAATTAAATACTTTTCTTGAAAATTTCCATTTCTCTGCTCATGCCTTTACCTGGAATAAATTCTGTTTTTTTTCTTTGAATTTTACTTTGGGAGCTGGCTTGGATTTCACCATCTTGAGGAAGCCATCCCTGATATCCACACCCAATGTCACTATGCCTTTACTCATATTTATTAATGCTTGTCATGTGTCAAGTACTGAATAAACACTCTAACTGAATTATCACATTTAATAATTAAAAACAATGGAAGAGAGGTTACTATTTTAGAAATACAGAGAATAAAGTTCAGAGAAGTTAAGAAATTTGCTTAGTCATACCATTAGTGAATGACATTGCCTTTTTTTTAACCTTTGCATTTCTAGTTTGCACTAAATGTTGATATTAAATCCTATTTTTGTTACTGCGCATCTGTAATTTTTATGCAGTCTTTATATAGTCCATTATTCTTCCCTCACTGTGTCTAGTAGAAGACTTTATAGATATATAAGTGCTTACTACTGTCCCCTGAATTGACTATTTGAGTATAAAGAAAGATCATCAAGAGCTCAGCTCTTGTTCGTATCTTGATGAGTAGAGAGATCAAGATAATTTGTCATAAAGAAAATACTAGAGGTGTACAGTTTTAAACTCTGGACAGTTGAGGGAAATTAAAATTGAACAGATCCTTGACAATCATGAGGAACAGTTCTGGAGACCTAAACAATCCTCTAAATTCATGAGTTTCATTAGTTCCTTAGAACACCCATTTTCTCTTCATTTTCATTATAAGCAGTAATCATTTTCCTTTTGGGGATCATAAAAAATAAAAACGTAAGCTATAAAAATTACTGGAATTATTGTGTATGTAGTGATGAGCTAAGGATGGCAAAAATAAGCTGATATATGGATATTGGAAGGTTTAGTGACTCCCTTACTAAAATGTGACTTTTTTTTTTTTAAGACACATTTATTCAGCATCATGATCAGACTATTACATTTAGCAATCAACAGCATGGGTGCAAAAAAAAAAAATCTACATTAAAATCCTTTCTTGGAATGCTTTACACTTTCCACAGAACAGAAACTAAAATAACCTGTTATACAATTAGTCACAAATACAGTCCCCGAGTTTTTTGCCCATACACATGAGTATTGTCTAAAACATGTCTTCTTTGTAGCAGCTAGGCCCTGCCACCACTGTGCTTGGCTGAGTTCACAAATCTGTTGTAACCTGTAGCTTCCCTGTCACTTCTCTGGCTCTCCTCTCCTGCTAAGCTTTGTTTCCTGGCAGTAATTAGAACCTTCTGCCACTGCCGTAGCTACTGCTGCCGCTGGAACCACCACAGCCACCTTGGTTTCATGGTTTGGTGAAGTATTGGCCTCCATCGCCATAGGGGCCAGAGCTTTTGCCTCCAAAATTTCCTCCTTTCATGGGTCCAAAATTTGAGGATTGATTGTTGTAATTGCTAAAATCATTATAGCTTCCGCCACCTCCAAAGTTGCTTCCATCATTACCAAATCCGTTATAGCCATCCCCACTGCCACCATATCCACCACCACCTCGACTGCCACCAAAGCCACCTCGACCACTGAAGTTCCCTCCACGACCAAAGTTGTCATTCCCACCAAAACCACCTCCACGACCACCACCAAAGTTTCCAGAACCACTTCGACCTCTTTGGCTGGATGAAGCACTAGCCATCTCTTGGTTAGATAGACCTTTCCTTACTTCACAATTGTGGCCATTCACAGTATGGTATTTTTGAATGACAATCTTGTCTACAGCGTCATGGTCATCAAATGTTACAAAAGCAAAACCTCTCTTTTTGCCACTGCCTCGGTCAGTCATGATCTCGATCACTTCAGTTTTCCCATGTTCAAAATAATCTCTTAGATGATGTTCTTCATTATCTTCTTTAATGCCACCAACAAAAATCTTTTTCACAGTTAAGTGGGCACCAGGTCTTTGAGAATCTTCTCTTGAGACAGCCCTCTTTGGTTCCACAACTCTTCCATCCACCTTGTGTGGCCTTGCGTTCATGGCTGCATCCACCTCCTCCACAGTGGCATACGTGACAAAGCCAAAGCCTCTGGAGCACTTGGTGTTTGGATCTCTCATTACCACACAGTCCGTAAGTATTCCCCATTGCTCAAAATGGCTCCTCAGACTCTCATCGGTTGTTTCAAAGCTCAAACTTCCGATGAGGAGCTTCCGCAGCTGTTCAGGCTCTTTGGAAGACTCTGACTTAGACATGACAGTGGTGGGAGGGGAGACTTTAACGATGCTTACTCGGTGGTGTCCATGGGCAGAAAGCTACATGACATATTCTTATACTTTAACCAAGTGTCCAATTCAAGTTTGTGTTTCACTTAATTCAGAAGTTATTATAGGCTGAGATCTTGAGACTTGCTTTCAAAATAGTGGAAAATGCACATGTCAAGTCCTGAGAGAAAAGTGAATACTCCTGTATGCAATAATATTTTTGGGGAATGATATTATTTATTGGACTAAGACCCCTTTGTTAGACTAAGACAGAGATATCTTATATCAAAAAATTTAAAAATAAAATATTTTATTTTGAATTTGAAATTAAAAACCATAAAGAATTAATCTTAGGAAACATTTTATTCATTGTCACTAAATTTCATAATTGAATTTAGAATTTTTTTTCAGAGAAAAGGTAAAAAAAATGACATGTATTCCAATTAAATTTTCTTCCTTTTGGATATAAATATTTGTTCTTTCTTACGTCTTTGGATACAAATGTTCTTTCGTTCTGTTTAAATTTACAAAATTTTACTGAATTTTGATACTGTCCTCATTGCTTTAGCACACCTACCCTTTATTCTACCCTGGTCATTGTCATTTTTAAATGCCAATTGCTTAGAATCAGCCAATTGAATTTATTCGTGTTAAAATTGATCTCTGCCATAACTATTCATGGAGTCCAGCCTAGTCAAATGTGGCTTTTGGAGCTAGGGCAGAATCAGAAAAGACATGGCATGATGCTGCCATGCATTTCTTTTCTCTATAACAAACATGGCTCATAAATGATGGTACTCTAACCTGCTGGGCCTGGATGGAATTTCACAGTCCTCTCGATATGCTGCTCTAGGCTGTCACTACCAACTGATTGACAGACTTTGGCAAATCAGATGAAGCCTCTATGCCAACTTAAGTCTTCTGTTTTAGTTAAGGGAATGGCATATTATGTTAGATAGAATTAAAAAATACTGCCAATACCAAAATTTACTATAGCTACTACCTTTTTTAAGTATGGGAATTGTAAAAACTCTTCACACTCCAGGAGAAATCTGACATGATAACCGGTAGACACCAGAACTGGTTTTAAACCTAATTGACCAATGACAATTTGCTTATGTGAACTCACCTGTGAAAGCCAACCAATTAGTAATGGCCTCATGCTTTTAAAGTCAGCCAATCAGCCGTGGATTCACTCCAATGACGGTGCATCTAAAGCTGACGACGACCAATTCCTGTTTCTGTAATCAACATAAGCATGTGTCTTTATCCAACATAAGTCACCTTTGACACTGTTATTGCCTCTGTAACCAACACAATCCCCTGTTCTCCACCCTCTTTTTCTTAAAACCCCCTAATATCAGCAGTTTGCTTGATTCAGTGACACTGAATGTCTAACCAGCATTGCTCTCCCTTGCCGAGGTGAGCAGTAAGTCAAGCTTTGCAGCGTTGGGTTTTGTTTCAAAGTTTGAATGGTGGTCTCATGCTTTGATAGATGACAGTATATGTCAGCACTTTTTTCTTTTTTTCAGTAAAGGTAACACATTTGCTGAACTTCTCAAATGAATTATTTGTTGGGAATAAAGTCACATACCAAAGTGTTGGCCACATGATTGAAACCCACCCCCACCAACAGAAATAGAGTTCATTGGGCTATCACATTAAAAATTATTGAGAAATTCAAATCTTCCCCATTTTAACTGCATGGAATGTATTTCATTGATGTACTTCCATTTTATATAACTAGCCTGTGATATCAGACTTTTGGAATAGAATGTTAGCAAATCTGACATGCTTAAAGTGTGAATAGTTGAGGGCTTAAGGAGAGGAAAGTACAGGTTAATCACTAGGAGTAAGTTAAGAATTGATGAGAGGTAGCCAATAAGTCTTTTTGTGGTTCCCAATATGTGCCTGTACTGGGCCATTTCTTCACTTTTCTCTAGACATCCTAATCAGCCTAGAAATAGATCGGAAGGGCATGCTTATGTGGGAAACTAATTTGGAGTTAAGCTTGCCAGTAGGTCACAGGGTGAGGCTTTTGATGGTGGTGATGGGGCTGGCAGGGATGTGCCTCAGCAGCAGTCCAGGACTGAGTAGGGATTATGCTGCCAGTGGAAAGATCATGATGGACTGGAAGAAGTGCAAAAGACTCGGTTATTAAATGTTTTCCTAAGAATGAGGTGCAGATGTGATTGGAGATGGGGAGGAAGACAGATGGCAGGATTGTGATTAGGGAAGAGAGAGAGAGAGTGCTGAGGTAAGGATTTCAGATATATTGCACTCACATCAGAAAGATTTTCAAGCCTCAGTGGTGTAGCATGTGCTAGTCATTTTGCCAGATGCTGTGGGAGCTGCAAAAGTAAGTGAGCGTTAGCTTCTGCTCTCATGTGACTTATAGTTTAGTAGGACTAGAGCTTTATGATGAGGTTGATCGGGAACTTTTGTGGCTGGCTTTGGGATGGAGGGCACTGAAGTCAAGGAGAAATACAGGCTGTGAGGTCCATGTGCCAGATGGTCACCAAGGTAAGTGCTAAGAGCTGAGGATAAGGCAAGGCACAGGACTGAAGTGAAAATGCTGTACATCACCAAGGAGTACAGGACAGTTCTGATTCATTCTTTCTTTTAATTTCTTCCTTTGAGATTATTTATTAGAGGGTAGGAAGCTGACACCCCCACAGAATCCATAGCTGATGATAGGAAATTTTCAGATAAGTCAGATATACATTTGTGAGAGGAGATGGATCTGGCTAATTGTGATGGCATTACATTATTACTTGAGATAGTAAATGCTTCATGAATTGCCTGAAAATGTGAATTCACACTCCAAAATTTGAAACCTTCCTTTATAAGGAATATATACATCTGGGAAAATTATTAGTAGCTGCACAATTTCTACTGATTGTTTTTCAGTATCTAACGCTGAGCCATTAACACTGAAATGGCTTGAAGAATAATGCAGCATTAAGCGATAATTATTTGGTATTTACATCGATTCTAGGAGAAAGATAATTTTGGAAAGTGTTAGATGCTAATATTAAAGATAAATCAATAGCATCAAGGCTAGAGGCCTAAGCACAGACTGAATTTGGGGTAAAGTTATAAAATTCATGATTTCTTGCCGTACTTAATCTTCTGAAGCCAAACTGTTACACTTTGTACCCAGCATCACCAGGAATTTATCCACAGTGTCCTCATGTTTATAATTTATACTGCAAACCTTGTTTGCACTACTTGCTTTCTTTTTTCTTAAGCCTTCTTTCAGTGTGTGATCATTATATGGTTATTAGAGAGAAGCTTGTTAGCGGTACAGGAGAGCGGAGATAAGAGCAAGTGCCCTCCAATGGGCTATCTGTTCTGAGTGCGGTTTGCTGGGAGATAGCAGTTATCAAAGGAAACATTGGCTGCTGCTGGCAAGTCTGAGGGTCTGAGGGATTTTCAGAGCACATGCTGATGGACATGCAGTGAAGAGTTGCCAGCGGGTTTCGGCGGGTTTAATCCTGGCATGTCGCCAACCCAGTGCCTGGGCGGCTCACAATAGGAAATGACAGGTGTGTTAAAGCGTGAGGAAAGCATGTGACATGGTTTTGGACAGAGGCCTCAGAGTGCTGGTTACCTTGGGTATTGCTGTGTGCTGTCTTTAACCTTAACACCTGCTTTTCTTCACAAGGTAGCCAACCTCACGGGGCTCCAGTTTTCTCATTTAATTATAAGGGAAAGAGCAGATCATCCTGGTGTCACATGCTTTGGTATCATGGCATTTCTAGCATCTGGCGCTGCATGGGGTGCAGTTAGGCTCATATGGATATGTGGCAGGAGGAAGAGGCCCAGGGCAGATAGAAACTGAGAACAAGGTTATAGGCAGAGCCAAACAAGTGGCACATCATTTTTGGAAACACTGAAGTATTGAACACAGCCTTCACTTGGGCAGCAGATTGGTTGCACATGGTCCTTTCTGCTGCTGGTGGTTAATGTAGCAATTAAACAAAAAAAGGAGAAAACATACTGAGCCAGTGCCCTGAAGAGAGGTCAAAAATTAGCTGAAAAAGGAGGTGGTATTGATCACATATCTGTTTACTTGTAGAACACTGTTTGGAAGCATATCTTGCTCCTTATAGGAATACTGATTCCATCATTTCACGCTTAGATTGCTTATGCCAAGCACTAGGACTGCAAAAGCATCTTTTCCTTTTGTGTAGGTGGGTATATAAGAAATGGTGACTGAACTAGCAGTCGGTATGAGACCAAATGAAATGATTTGAGTATATACAAATATATGTTGCATATTCTTGGAAAAGGACCCAATTCTGTTTCAAGGGGAACATCACAGAAAGGAGCAGGGTTTGAAGAAGAGAGTCATTTGCCTTCTACTAAATAAAACTCTTCAAATTCTAGCTGGGCCAGAAAGGAAACAAGTTCCCTTTGATTTCTCTTCCTATAGTGTTCACAACATGAAGATGTTATTTCTCAACAACTTAGCCTGCTCCCTAATTTTCCCCCACTGTCTTTTTTTTTTTTTAAATATTTTATTTATTTATTTATTTGAGAGAGAGAGCATGAGAGGGGGGAGGGTCAGAGGGAGAAGCAGACTCCCTGCCGAGCAGGGAGCCCGATGCGGGACTCGATCCCGGAACTCCAGGACCATGACCCAAGCCGAAGGCAGTCGCCCAACCGAGCCACCCAGGCGCCCCTCCCCCACTGTCTTTCACCCCAAGAACCATCAATAGAAACACACATGATTTTATTTTATTTATTCTTAGAATATTCTGTGACAGCCAGAACCATTTCCTGTTTTTTCCCTCCAGCTTCTCTTATTTTGTATATGGTCTAGCTAATGCACTATGAAATTCAGCAAGGAAACATCATTAAGATTTTTTTTCTGCCTTCCTGATGTATAGGGTGGGATGTGGCATATTTACAAGCCACACAGGGGTTGAAGAATAGCTACATCTGGTTTTAGGTCTTTCAGCAAAGAATAGAGCTTTCATTAAATACCTACATAACACAATATAGTCTATGCCT